CATCAGTAACCATAACCTAAGAGTGGTGTCTAATATCTTGATCTGTTTTTAGCCTACCAAAAGGAGGCCCTGCACTTAACTCGGTGGCACTGGTCTGTTTCGATGGCTGCATCTGATCAATTCCAACATTGCAGGGGATTGTCTGGGCGCCCATCAGGAGAAGGGGGATGATTTTGGTGACAATCAGGAAACAATGAGGGGGAAATAGGGGACAATCCTGAATGGGCAAAGCACCTGTCCCTGACCCAGAGCAACAGGAGCTTTAGTGCTGACATCCAGGTGCCCAATGGGGAGCTGCAGTCAGTGCCCACACCGGGGAGCCAGCCGGGACATGGGCAGACGCGATCCCTGGGAGGGGGCAGACATGAAGGGGTTTAAATAGAGCCCAGGGCTGGGTTCATCTGGACCTACAAGTAACCGGAAGAACCCAGTGGCAAAGCTCTGACAGTTCCATGACCCGAGCTAGGGGAGCAGAGCTGGTAGCTCCAGCCCAGGGCTGGTAGCCAGTGAATGTGGTGTGGAGACAAGAGACCAGCTCTGACCACCTGCTCCCTGTGCCAGTCTGTTACCAGAGCGGATCACACACACAGTGTCCCCGGCTGCCCTCGCCCCTGGATTCTCTGGAACAACCGGAGTCTCCATAGATACCTCCCTTCTCCCCCCTCCCCGGATCTCACGTCTCCTTTCTGTCCCCCCATTGATCCTGTGGCTTCTAGCCAGGATCTACATAGTTTCTGGGAGAAGCTGCCCGTGCCCAGGGGCGGTGGGGCCCCCAGGAGGCAGGGTCTGGGGCAGGCGGCTGCAGCGCGATGGGTTGATCGCTAGGACCCAGGAGCAGCTGGGTGGGAACAATGGCCGGGTTCCCTGTATCCCGGCGCCAGGAAGTGATTCGCAGCCGCTGCGGTGACTCGAGCTCCTGGCGAGATCCCCGAGCCCCGGCGGCTGGTGCTGGGAGCCCGGAGCCCGGGCTGCAGCCGGGAGAGGGGAATCTCCAGCAGGGCCCTTCCCGCTGCTCCCCAGGAGCCTCTCCCAGGGCAGAGCCCCCAGCCCGGCCAGGCCCCTTCCCGGCCCGGCCCCTGCCCCAGGGGGCCCCGCTCGGAGGGAAGGTAAGAGAGACCCGCCCCCCCGTCACACCCGGGCTGCAGGGGGAGGTTTGGCCCCAGGCTGCTCCCAGCGGAGCTGGCTGCGATTCCCGCCCTGGGCCCGGGAAAGCTGCCGCCGGCTCCGGTGTGTGCGGGGCGGGGGGAGCCAGCCCGGGCCATCCGCTGCCCCCACCATCTACTGCTTTGCTCGTGTGAAGGTGCCGCTCGCTGACCTCTCCTGCATGGGAGGCCAAGGGGCTCTGCTGGCCCTAGGGGTAAGAGCGGGCAGAGGAGTCAAATGTGGGGACAATCCGTGCAGGGGCCAAACTGATGTGCAGGAGGGTCAAAGCGCTGGAGGGAGGGGAAGGCGATGGGGAAAATCAGAGACGGGGTAGTTAGGTACCAGGGTTAAGAATGTGGCTAAGGCCCGGCCAGGCAGTATCAGTGGGGAAACCCCAGGATAAGTAAGGGCAGAGGAGTTAAAAGTGACAACAATGGGGGTGAGCAATCTGCAGTGGTTGCAAAAAAGGATGTTGAGATGTCAAGGGGTTCCCCGGGGGGGTGGGGGTGGGATGCTACACCTCAGCACCTGTTCCCAGGAATGGGTTCTCTCACAGCTGCATCCCAAGGCTCAGAGGCATGGAGCTGCTAAAGGAGACCTGATTCTGCACAATATTTCACATACCCCCCTTCCCCCGCAAAGTTTTAGTGTTTAAAATAATCTCTGATCAGTCGCTATCTCTGCATCATGCCTCACTGATGCAGGAAGGCTCTTGGTCTGCCTAAGGATCCATGAATGGGAACGGTTCTGCTGGTGTCTGAGTGGGCTGGGATGTAGGAGACCCAGGTCTCAAGTAGAGGAGGAAAGCAGATTTGAACAGGGGTCGCCCACATCCCAGGTGAGTGCTGAAAGATAGAAGGTGGGACAGTGACATGGCGGGAGGCTGAAGAGGGGCAGGGGGTGTAAGTAAGGGGGGATTGACAGGGGAACAGAGATGTGTGAGGCCGGGGGCAGGAGGGGATGGTGGCAGGGGGTAGCTGTTGCACTGAAGGGAGGATGGGGTGATGCAGGGGGAGGAGGATTATGGGGCTGAGGGGAACGACGCTGGAATAGAGGGAAGATATGAGTGGGGGGTCACTGCGAGGAAAAGGGGGGATGTGGGGAGAGGAGGTTGTGAGGAGACTGGCCGGGGAAGGGAGAGCCGGGGGCAGGGATAAGGCGGAGGGGTGGGGAGAGATACAAGGGCAGCTTCCCTGCCTAATGGGGTAAGGGAGGTTGAGGGGGCTGCCCTGCCCTGCCCAGCCCAGCAGCCAGTGGGGATTTGTTCCCCTACAAATGGTCAAACCAGCAGTGAGGAATGGGCAGGGTGACCATTCATCCTGAATTGGCCAGGACAGTCTTGTAATGCAGAGTTCAAGTCCTGGTCCTGAGCTGAATGACTCCGGGACACCATTTGTCCCAGATTCTCTGCGCCTGCCCCAGGCTCCGGGGCAGTGCCAGCCTGTTCCCCGTGGGTGGGATTGAGGTGGGCCTTAGCCCCCCTTCACCATGAGGCCCCGCCCCCGGCTCCTCCTCTTTCCCCGAAGCCCTGCCACCTGACCAGGCCAGAAGCTAGATCAGGGCCATAATAAGAGCCACCCAGGCTGCAGTGGGGAGCCCCAGACCCTCCACCTGCCCTGAGTGGCATGCCCTGGGGGGGTGGGCACATGTGCCAGGGGCTGCTCTTGAACACCCTATCCCCCTGTCCAGGGCAGGTGGAGGGTCCGGGGCTCCCTGCAGTGCCCTGGGCTCCCTGGGCAGCTCTTATCACAACCCAGCTTCTGGCCTGGGCAGGGCATCAGGAGGAGGAGCAGCAGGCGAGGCCTCTAGGGATAGGAGGGGTGGGGCCAGCTCCAAGGGCCGCTTCCCTGCCTAATGGGGTAAGGGAGGTTGAGGGGGCTGCCCTGCCCTGCCCTGCCCAGCCCAGCAGCCAGTGGGGATTTGTTCCCCTACAAATGGTCAAACCAGCAGTGAGGAATGGGCAGGGTGACCATTCATCCTGAATTGGCCAGGACAGTCTTGTAATGCAGAGTTCAAGTCCTGGTCCTGAGCTGAATGACTCCGGGACACCATTTGTCCCAGATTCTCTGCGCCTGCCCCA